CCCTCTCTTTTGAGATATAAAAGAGAGAAGCGAGCAGAGAGACATGGGGATCTCATACCACCAAGAAAGAAGCATCAGGAGCAGAGCGCATCCTTTGGACCCAGGGTCCCTGTGCAGAGAAGCTCCTTGACGGGAAGATTGAGGACAAGGACCCTCCAAGTGGGCAGAGACAGAAAGCCTTCCCCTGGAGCTGGCGCCCTGAAATTGGACTTCTAGCCTCCTAGACTGTGAGACCTCCATCCATTGGTGGTATTTCTATTATAGCTGCACTAGATGACTAAGACGGACTGTGACAACAGGAAGAACACTCCAACCACCCTGACACATGTCTCCGACCATTTGTAGATCTGATGGTCGGCAAGTGTCTCCAGGTATTAGGGAGAAAGCACCTCATTTTATGGAGACAGAGTAGAGAACGCTAGGAACAATCCCAGGTGTGGAGAAAAGGATGAAAGGGTGCTGTCGTGGGCCAGTAAATCAGAGCACATCTTGTCCCAGACCAGCCTGTTCTCCAGGAGGGGCCTTTAGGGAGGGCAGTGTGCTGGCTCCGGCTGAGGGGGGCCAGAGTTCAGGGCCTTGGGGGAAGGAGGGAAGTCTAACCAAAGGCTGTCAACAAGCACTTTGTCTCTGATGGATCAGTGGGGACAAGCAGTTCAGTTACTCATTTAGGAGACAAAGAACCGGAGCACTCAGCTGCTATCCAAAAGGTTGGCAGTTCTTCAAATCCATCAGCCACTCCACAGGAGAAAGACCTGGCAGTCTGCTTCCATGAAGATTACAGCCTTGGAAACTCTATGGGGCAGTTCTACCCTGTTCTACAGGGTCACTATGAGTCAAAATTGACTCAACAGCAATGGGTTTTTGGGTTTTTTTTTTGGACTGGCTTTCAGGAGCCCTGGTGGCACAGTAGTTAGGTGATCAGCTGCTAACTGAAAAGTTGGCAGTTCAAACCCACTAGCCCCTCCTCAGGGAAAAGCTGTGGCCGTCTGCTTCCCTAAGGAAACTGTATGTGTGTCAGAGTACAACTCCCTGTGTGTCAGAGTAAAACTGTGCTCCATAGGTTTTCTGTTTTTTATTGTGCTTTAGATGAAGGTTTACAGAGCAAATTAGTTTCTCATTTAACAATTAATATGCATATTGTTTTGTGACATTGGTTGCCACCCCACGACATGTCAACACTCTCCCCTTCTCAACCTTGGGTTCCCTGTGTAGTCACTCAGCAACCCAGCAGCGGGGAGGTTCTACCAGGCCGGCTGCCATTATCCCAGTATGGAACTCAGGAGTCCTCAGCCCTGACTCTTACTTTCTTCTAACTGAAGAGTCACATGTCACTTCCACTTATAGTTAATTGCTTAGGATGGTCACATGGCGGCTCCTAACTGAAAGGAGCTGTTGTTATTAGGTGCTGTCGAGTCAGTTCCGACTCATAGTGACCCTATGTACAGCAAAACAAAACACTGCCCAGTCCTGCACCATCCTCATAATTGTTGCTATGTTTGAGCCCATTGTTGCAGCCACTGTGTCAATCCATCTCATTGAGGCTCTTCCTCTTTTTTGCTGACTCTTCACGTTACCAAGCATGATGTCCTCCTGATAACATGTCCAAATTATGTGAGACAAGTCTTGCCATCCTTGCTTCTAAATAGCAATCTGGTTGT